CCTAGCTCCTTTGACGGCAATTTTTAAAGGCTGATTCTCCCAACCGCTAATCCTGCATACTCCCTCGGTTACTCGATTAGTTCACATTAATTTGAAATTTTCTTAATTTCAAGGTCTGAAAAGTGGTTTCTAAAATAATGAGAAAAATTTGTATTCTCTATCACATTCAGGGGCTAGAGTGAAGAAATACGGCACTGCCTCATAACCAATTTCCGTCGAATACACGATCTGACAGTGTTTTTCATGATCCTACGAATCTCTTGATATCGCCAATAATAGATCACGGGATTAATTGAAGAATTAAGAAATACCAAGAAGCCTGATGCGTGGAACGCAATCAGAAATTGCCTTCGAGATTCTTCAGCTAAAATCAAGATACCACAACATAAGTCTGGGAGATAACAAGCTAGCAAGACCGCGAATACACAAAAGGTATTTAGGCTCGATCGTTTCTCTCGAGCAAACTCAATTGCCTCTTGATGTGAGATCTGACTTTGTATTTGATTTCGATGATAAAGCACAACCTTGTAGATTCGACAATAAGCAATTGCTGTCACAAGAAGCACTAATACTTCCATAAAAACTCCCACGATGTCATTGTAGTTGGGAAGAAACATGTAAATGCTGGCAATAATACCACTGGAAATCCAAGATAAAGTAACGACAATGATAGTTCGTCTTGGCGTGACTAGTTCTCGGTATCGTAGATGAAGCGACACCGCAAGGAGCCTGTCGATTGCTATGGCTGCGACCGATAGAACAGATGCAGTCACCAGCCCATACAAAGAGAGTTGTGATATGGTCACAATAAAAGGACAGAATGAGTCAGAGTTGAAATTTCCACCAGCAGACATTTGGAACATAACAGCCATAACAACTCCAACCATTAGCTGCGCAAATAATCCAACAGTGAGATCTGAAACAGCTAGGCTCAAGAAAAGTGGTCGTAAAGTAGCTGATATCGTCTTTGCTTTCATCAGGGCCCGTATGACGAGGACATTACCCAGAACTGCGACCACAGCGAATGATAGGTTCAAAACACAAACCACAAGCACGAAACGCCAATGAAAATTAAGAAGTTTTACGTAGTCTTCCAGTTTTTCGTTACACAAGTGAACCACCATGTCTGTAAATACCATTTAACGCTACTTATAACATAACATCAGTTACCTAGAATTTCAGTCTGATTAAAAGTTTCATAAAAAAAAGAAGAACGAACTGAATACTTTCCTCTTTCGCAAGTGGCTTTGATTGCTTAAATCCGGGCTCCTTGATGCGAAGAGAAAAATTCACTTAAATCTGACGTCGTGTTTTTTCACCTGCGTTCGATGGTGTTCAAATGGCACGTAGCGCGCAAATGTCACGAAAAACAGAAAACTCACATAACAATTTTTTATTTCATTTATTTATTTATTGATTTTGACATTTTTTTAGCACAAAGAGATTATAGCAAGCAGTTGAAATAATAAAAATACTGCCACAGATCTGCCGAAAGAAATGCCTACTTAGCGGCAATTTGAGTGGGCATACATGTACACACTACATGTAGCCGTGCAGTTATTACATAGGCATGTTAATTTTAAAAAATGGTTAAAACATTCTTCCGTTTCCTGGAGTTTTTACGTTGGAAACATATTAATCAGAATTTCTATGGCCTGATTGATCACGTTTCGTTTTTTTCTCGAGCTCACTTATTACGCATCAATTCGCACATACACCTTCAACAGCACACCATCGCGCTGGATAATCGCGACTTATATCAGAAAGACAATGCGGCAAAGTAAACACTTTCTGATGCATAATAAGGTCAACCACAATGATTAACTACCGATTCCTTTAACAAATTGCCAAGGTTACGTACGAGTAGGCCAAAATTTGTANCGTTCATTTATTAAGTAAATATTTTTGAACAATGCCAGAATTTCTCCAATACATTATCCACATTACTGTAGTTGGCTCAACTATTTTATGTCAGAGAAAAAGCGAATATTGGTAAAACTTACTTTGTCTACAAGTCAAACACTGAAAAGTATTTACCCGAGCTTTGCATGCCAGATCACTACATCTACCCCTTCTGAATGGCTCTTTCAAACTGTCTTTGATTTTAGTATTTCACGATAGCTATGTGATGAACAAAGCTCTACTTGCCCGCTAATGGAGACGGATTTATCGTTTCTTCTTGATATGTAGAATCCCTCACGAGTGGCTGATATGCGAGTGAGAAATAATTCAGTCAACATTACTCTCAAAGATAAAATTTATATCCAAGCACGTTCAAGCACGTTCACTACTGTATATCATCTGTGAAGAATGAAAATGCTAAAATTAACAATTACTTTTTCGCTACAAAAATTACTATTAACACATCAAGAAAGAAACAAAAAGACGACGCCTCGACATCTCGGTCCAATTGGAACCAAAAGTTAGTGTATTCTTTATGACATAAAAAAGTACTGCGCGCGTGGAGTCAACCTTACAATCAAGCATGGACAAGGCTCGTCATTAAGAGCTTCTCGTAGACGAGGCAGTAACGTTTCCCGCGGAACTTTCGTCAGGATTCCCATAAAGTGTTATGAAGTCGCCGAATTCCCAGTTTATACCAAAGCGAAGCGCTTCTGAAGGGGAGCGAGCTGTGTTCCTTATAATGAGGAAAATAAGTCGTATGAAAGTGTCGATCTTACGATTTAGTACCATAATTTAGGGGCCATTGTTGCGCGACTTGGAAATTTTGTAGCTGTAAGCGATTTTTACCATGATGAATTTGTTCCTGACATTGCGTAAGGTGATGATGATGATGATGAGCATCAAGTGAAAGACAGCAGCTTCTTAAGATTCGGTCTCCCGCTCTCAAAGGCCAAACATCACCCATCGCAGTCAGACGGCGGAATAATGATCTCTGTCAATGATTGGCTACTACTGTCGATTCGTTCTCGTCAACGAGAAGGTGGAACAAGGTTTATATAGATTCCAAGGATATGAATGTACAAAAGTATAAAATTTGGACAAAAAAATGTCCTAGTTTTTTTATCTGTCTGTCACCGAGTTTTTAAGATATGTTGTTTCATTACAGTATTTGTACTGTAATGTGAGAAATTAACATCATATCTTAGTATCCTGTATTTGTAAAACCATTTTTTCAGTAAAGATAAAAGAAAGAGATTAAAGGGAAGCGTTTGAAAAAGGTACAAAGGTACATATCGAAGCTAATTCAACAAAATTTTGCATTGGTTTTTGTGTCCTCAAAGATTTCACATCAGCTGCTCTCGAAATACGATATCACCATAGAAATGCTCAGACGTAGTTGAGATGTGTTTGTTCATTTGTCTTTAAAGCCGTCTAGTCCCTAATAGAAACTGACCATAATATGCTCGTCAGGGCGAAATATGCGAAAAAAATTTCAAGTCAGTTCTTTATCTTTCTTCTAATTTTGCTAATTCTGGAATAAGTGATATGTTATAAAATAATGGACTCTGAAATGGAATGTTGCTTCTCCTTTGTGACTGTTAGACGACTGCTCAGCGTTTCGATTCTCTCGTGGATTAAAATTATTCTAAGTCATCCAAGCGTAAGAGTTTCTTCATCGTGTTTATCAAGTGCACGCGAATTTCCCTATATCGCCAGCAGTAAACCATTGGGTTTAACAAAGAATTTAGAATAACCAAGAAAAGGGATCCATGATTGGCGGCTAAATAAGATATTGAAGTATTGTCAGTTAATAACAAAATCATGCAGCATAATTGTGGGGTGTAACAAGCCACGAAAACAACATAGACAAACAAAGAATTGATGGCTGCCCTCTGCTCACGGATAAATACTTTTAATCGATGACCACCCTCTCGCGATTGGCTTTGAATTCTTTTGTGATGATATCTCACGGCCTTGCAGATTCTGGTGTATGCTACGGTTGTCAAAAGAAATCCAACAGCTTCAAGAATCACGGCCATCACATGACTTTTGTTTGGAAGTGACACAAATAGTGTAGCGGTGACAACGCTTGTTACCCATAAAGATATCAACACTAACACTATTCGGTCAGAAGTGACGTGTTCCTGATATCGGAGATGAAGAGAAACTGCCAGGTACCTGTCCATAGCGATGGCTGTAATGGTCATGAACGAGGCGAAAGCCAACAGAAAGAAAAAGAAATAGAGCAAAATAAAGCTGGTTGGACACAAGTCAAAGGACTGATCTCCGTTTGCGTTTCTGTGCAACATTACCGCAACAATGACTCCAAACATCAGCTGAGGAATCATTCCAACAGCGAAATCTGACACAGCAAGACTCAGGAACAATTTCTTCAGATTTGCAGGTATCGAGGATGCCTTCCTTAGAGCACGAACAACGAAGAGATTTGCAAGACATGTTAAAATGGAAAACATCAAGTTCAGGACACAAAATA